TCGGTGAGCTTAGTTTTTTTATTTCTGTATGTTGATAAATTTTGAATTTTTTGCTTTAATGCAAATGCGGCTTTTATGGTCCGGTTAAAACTTTTGTGCCGTTAGGTAATGTGCATTCAATAATTGTAGAATTATCAACAGTTTAAAGATTAAGTGCTACTAAGCTTAACGAAGCCACGATTTGTTTACATTTGAAACTATTAGTAGAATAGTGAATTTAGTCAGATTCTGCACCAACTTCAGTTTGGTTTTGTCGAGTGGAAATGAAAGTAAACTTTCAGTTTTGTTCACCGAAAAATCTGTCTTCCTGCCGGCTGGCCGAATTGCTTGCTGCCGGCTGGCGTATTTGCGTAGAAACTCTAATTTTAATTGTAAAAACTGTTTTTAACTGTTTTAACTCTATTTGGTGTTTTATGTTTTTCTGTATTTTATAATTTTAATGAAGATATTTTAAGTTTTGATGTACTTTTGCTTTGCCGCGAAGGGAGAACTGAATTAATTGAATAAGAGATATATGTCGATTGAAATTGGACGAAATAAGTGTAAATGAAATGCAGCAAACAGTGTGTATAATTTAATAGACCATTCAAGGAGGTCATGTGTTGTCCACATCAGATTTTTTTAGTTCCTATTTCTGGTTTTAATGGGCTTGCCTAGATACAGTAAATCGTAATATAACAACACGAAACTTTACATCGCACTTTTTTTTTGTCTGAAAATATTTCGAAGCTTTCTCCATAGTCAAAAGGTTGAAAAATCCGTCTTCAAAATTAATTTGCTTTAAAAAATTAAGTTCTTTGCAAATAGCTGTGAAAGGGAAGATGTAATGCTATAGAATATTGGATGAAATATTGCAAGGAATAGAACACAATTTCTTTTCAGATTTTAGGTTCTAACTTAAGAGGTTTTTCCTTCGCTAATGACATTTATAATAAACTTGACATTAGATATATGTAACATGTTTTTTTCGGGCACCAATTAAATCTGAATTGCCTATCCGTTCAATACAAAAAGCTGAAATTAATTGCTTATCTATATAAAAGAAATCGAAGCAAAAATAGAAAGCAGCGTATGTTGGTGTGGGGAGAGGGATAGAGAGCGAAAGGATCTAAAATCCTGATAAGTGGGAAGATGCTGAAGGAGCGATTTAAGGATGGAAATGAAGGGTGTGGTTCCGTCCACACCCACAACCACAGATTAACCTTCTGAAGGTTATCAAAATGTCTTGTAGCTTGCGATGGGGAAGGAAGTGCATTCAGAAGAGAGCAGAATTCTGCAGAAATTTCATTGTCGCTTTTAGTGAAACTAATATTTTTCAGTCAAAAAATCATTTTTCAGTAACTTGTGGATTTTGGTATAGTAAGTTGTATGTCAGTGGTACATCATAAAAATTATCTTAGAATTAAACTGTTCTTCCGTCCATTATTTACTATTTACTAGTTATTCGAAATTAGACATCCAGTGGCATGAATTAGGAGAGAAATATTCCACGCTATGCTAGGTTCGCTTAGGCGGAGGTAAACATGTCCGGAATCAAAAGCCTGCGCAAATAAGAATCTCTGTGAAACTGGAGCCTTAGAGGGCTTGATCATATTTTTCCTGATTGATAATTCTTCCTAAATAAACAGCTTATGTATTGAAACTTTTTATCAGTAATATTCTGTAGAGATATTAGGTTATTTTAAGCAGGCGATGGGAAGAGCGTGCAATGCCCTCCCCGGGACTCGAACCTGGACCTCTCGAATACGCGCCGAGTGTGTTAAGCCTTACACCACGAAAGCATGCCGGTAGGAGGGATGAAATAATGCTTCTGACAAATGCTGCCGTTTTTTCGTTGTTAGTATTTTTTAAATTTTCGGTAAGTAAGGCCCACCAGCGGCCGAGCGGTAAAATCGCTGAACACTGGTAGTTCCAACCTTGGTTCGAATCCAGGCAAACGGGCTGGCTGCATGGGCATTTTCATAGTTTTTACCATGTGTAACTTATATACGAGCCAGTTTCCCTTAGAAAATCCTCCACGAAGTCATCCCTTTAGCAGGTAGCTTTAGTTTGCTTGCCATAATAAACTACACCAAACAAAACCAGTCGAATACTCTAATCAAATGACAGGATGATAACTTCATGCTGCGAAAATTGTTGGATTCAAAATATTTTACTGCCAGAAATTAACTGAATGAGTCTGTCATATGTGCCCTTATAACGTCTTCTGAAGAAATTTTTCTGATTTCTTTATCAGGTTGTTCGGCTAGAATTTATTCAAAGAATATACAGCATCATGTACTTGAATGAGAATAAACCTCTCTTATTATATGATCAAATATAATTACGATAATATATGCATACAGTACAAATAGTAACTATGTGCATATATAATTACTGTTTGTGCTTCACGTGTATTGACATGAAAATTAACGCCCAATCAAAAAATTGCTGTTTTCTTTCATTGCTTAAAATTATGTGTACTTTAATCCCTTATAGTTTTGGGGGTAATAATGCTGATATTATCATAATTTTTGGATGGCAGTTCGTGAGCCTAGAATATAAAAGTTAAATAATCAATAATTTATCATGCATTGTAAAGCTTTGTGTATTTCTTTGTTATAGCGGCGCCCGAGACTGGCTCGCCAGTCAACCGAGATATCTCGCCAAAATCTAGCTGCGTGTTCTTATAACTTCGCCACGTAATCATATGTTAGCACCGTGCTGCATTTTCCCTCTCGCCGCCTGTTCTTATATTATTCATTTTTAATGAGGTTTTCGAATTCGCATTGTTTATTTAAAATTACATTCGTTGCTTGGTAAAAGTTTACAATTGGGTGCCCCTTTTTTGTTTCGGCGATTCCTTTTTGACACCACGATCGGCGCCAGGAAGGCATAATTTCAAGATAACCTCTACACAAAACCAAAATACGAAGTCAAATACGAAGAAGTGCACAAACTTGGTGTCCATGTATACATCGATCTATTTTCACTTAAAAAAACATCAGAGAATTTCACAAACTCGGCATTGCCTTGACCTTGTCCATGTACACAGCGATCTATTTTTACTTTAAAAAATTAGAAGGCTAAAACAAAATTAAAACTATCATGGTAACCAGAAATGGGGTTTCATCACCGAAATTGAACACAATTTGTCGCCTATCGAAGAGGTACCCAGTTCTAGACTAGAGCCCGTTGCTTTTTCCTTTGTGAATATGACGTTAATAATCTTTAATTTACCAAGTAATGAGGGGGATGCCATATCATTTGTTTTTCAACAAAGTTTTTTTTTTTTTTTTTTTGTTGTTGTTGTTGCCTGATAAACGAGTATTCGAAAATGGGACCAACATGTTACCATTTGGATGGGCAACGTTAAAAACTTCAAAAAAGAAGAGGGGCCTCCGTGTTGGAAATAGGCTGAGCGGTTCCACAATATCATTCGTCACTGTTATTAATTTATGTTTTCTTGAACAGAAGAGTTGACGTCTATGAAATGGTGTAACAAACAACTTAATATGTGTAATATGTGTGAAAATGCTGCAGTTGAATTGCAATAATTAATGCAATAAAATAGTAATAATAATATAATTCTTAAAAATATTCATAAAAAACGACATGCGAGTATTATTGTTATTATTATTTATTGTGTTGTTTATTTTCATAGTCCTGCTTCACGAGCTTGGCGAAATTATAGCTGAGATCTTGTCGCAAATCTAAAATCGCCAAATGTGGTTGGGAGCAGCTGTAATAAAGAAGTACCAAGAAGTTGAACAAAGAAGTACAAAGAAGTTGTTTCATTTAGTTAGCAAAATTCCTCCAAATCCTGGAGTATGGATAATTTCAATGAATACTACAGACAATGTTTAAAACAAAAAGGAAATCCACTCTTCTTCGGGACTTTTGAATTGATTACATAGAAATAGGTTTTAGGAAGAAAGAATTTCTAAATATTTGTCGTATTGTGGGAATATGTAGCGTTTAATTTTTGTTCTTGAAAATTGCAGATTGATTCCTATTAGACAGCGTAAATATCAGCTCTCAAGAGACCGCACATTTTAGGACATTACTTGGGATGATAAAACGCAAGAAGACTTCTGAGATGCTCTCCAAAGCTAATTCATTGGGTTTGTGTTCTCTATAGATGTTTAAACAAAACATAATAGACGACTTGATTCATTAAAATGTATTGCAGGTTTGCCAATAAATTGCACAACACTAAAAGCGTTGAACTTATTTTCACATTGTTGCCAGCAAATATTATCGTATATTTAAAAAAATTAAATAATGAAGAATCTGCATGGATCTCGCACTGTGAAAAAACTACGGTACCTAGAGCATCCAATCTTTAATAACATAGTACTGCATCTGAATATTGGTACTCGGAAGCCCGAGTTTTATATTTCGAACTTGTTTTATTATCTGTGTAAAACTGTGTGTTTGATTATCTGTATTATTTTTTAAAACTTTAAGGAATTTTTGATTAAAAAATTCAACGATTTCAAAACGAACAGTGCCAATACTGTATGAAAGAAACATTTTTATCTCCAATGCGCTGGACCGTCTATTGGAAATTCTAAAGATACACTGATTTTAAATATTTTTAGCCAAAATGCTCTCGAAACGCGTATGTGTGTTTAAATGAAAAAAATGCCCCTTTCTGCTTAATGCACAATCTGAAAGTGTTTTGTTGTTGTCAAATGAAATTAAAACATAAATTTTTCTGTTTAGCTGCCTGATTATTTTCACTTCAGCCATTGAAAAAGTTGAAGAAAAATAAGCATTGTATGTACAACATTTCAGAATACTTGTTTGTTTCATGTATGTTCAAAACTTGTATTCTTATATGTGAACTTTTATTTCTTGTATGTTCAGAACTTGTGTGCTTCAGAATACTATCATAAAATTTTAGTCTTAAATGCTTGACAATTCTGAAATTTTAGTTCATAGACGTTATTTTGAATATTTATTTACATATACAATATACACTTAAATACTTATATCGTGGTTATTTCTTTTCGCAGGTAGCTATGAATAGGTATTTGCTGTTGATCCTGTTGTCCTCGTGGTCACTTCTGGTTACCAACTCTCTACAGTGTGAGACAGGAGTAGCTAACGTGGGTCATGTGCTCAGTGTTCAGCGATCCTTGATGGCAAATGCTGATGTAGCGTTTCTGAAGTCGTACCAAGCACCATCCGTTGAGCGTTGCATGGAAGACTGCTGCTCCGGGAAGTATGGTGAGCATAGCTTTTTGTGTGTTGTTTATATTAAACCTGAATCTATGAGAAAAAATAAACTATAATGTAACCTTTAAAAAGAGTTTTCTCTCAGTTGGGTTTTATTGTACAAAAAGGTGTTTTCAAACAGTTTCTAACTGTATCTGTTACTCGTGACTAAAATTCTACTACTCTCCGGAAAACTTTAAAAAAACAAGCTCTATGTCAACTCCTTGCTCTACTTTAAATGACGAAGTTATTCGATACCATTTGTTAAATGATTCGTGACGCTGAAATGAAGGTCTTTGAAGTAATAGGGATTTCAACGTGGATGATATTGTCGAGTACAAAAGTAGGAAAGGCCAAAAAGATGTCTTTTTCTTTGTATAAATTTTACAAACGAAAACAATAACTATTTTTCTGTGAGATAAGGAGGGCATGAGAGGAGGAAATTTTCATTAAAGAATCGGTAGGCTTTTAGAGTGAACATAAATAATACCGTAAAGCAAGCAATTTTTGTTACATCTAGTGATTGCGAAATTAAAAAAAGGCCCCTTAAAACTTTTTAGACACGTTGTGTATTATTGACAGTTTCAGTCAGACATCCAGTTATTATTACAAACTATTATTTCAGTTTCAGTCAAACACAAACAAACTATCAAAACAACTTTTCTTCTTATACAAACTATTATTTCAGTTTCAGTCAGACAGCCGTTATGTAAAAATGTATTAAAAGTTGAATATGTTACATATTACGTTACTAAGCTTGTAATTGGTCTGAGGGGTTTGGAAGAGAGACAGTTCGTCCAGAAGAGAGACAGTTCGTCAGTTTTCGTCCAGAAAGTGAATCCAAGTACATATATTCTTCGCCATTGTCAAACTTGATGGCTTAGCTTCGGAAACATTCTTCAACGAGTAATGTGATTTAAAAAGATATCATATTTTTCAAAATGAAAATTATTGCTGACTTTCCTGAGTTAAATGATAATGCTCAGAATTTGTGTTTTGTTTTTACTCGAAACATCCTGACACATTTAGAACACTTTTAATTTGATATTACAAGGTAAAAACTTATACTCCCATTACACGTTAAAGGTTTGAATGGGTTTCAGTTAAACCTTCGGTTATTTCAACAATATTTATTGAAAACTAAGATACCTCCATGAAATTACACTGGTGAAATAAAATAAGAGAATTTGCATATTTTATCGAATTGCATGAAAAAACTGAACTGAAGGAAAAACCACTATTTCTAGATAAAAATTCAAATCTTGTGCGGCAAATATGTAAGCGTACACGTTTGTTTAGGCGGAGCCAGCAGAAAAACAGGCTTTATAAGCGCGTGGAGGGTAAGACGATGATGGAATGAGGTAGCGGATTGTGGGGAGACTAGATACAGGCCAGTCGCAAGTCCAGATATGCAGAGAGTTTAATTTAACGCCCAGTGTCATGTATAGCCTATGGAAATAGTTCCAGGATACTGGAACCATCAAGAGAAAACTTGGGCAAGTCGTCCAAGAGCCATGACTGCCAGAGAAGATCGCTATTTGTCCATTTTAGCGAGGCGTAAACAGAAGGGCTACAGCTTCTCAGCTCTCACGGGATCTGTATGCAGCCACAGGAACCCGTGTAACAAAGGTGACTGTTTCCAAAAGACTGAATGAGAGAGCGTTGTATGCCAGAAGACCGGCTGTTTCGGCTGTTTGCGTCTCGTTCACGTCTACGGACAGAAGAGTCCGATTAACATGGTGCAGGTGACAGGTGACGGAGGGCGGGGACGCCTGAAGTTTAACAGAGGTTAACAGACATATGTCCCGCGTCCTCCCCTGGAGTTTATTTAATAGTTATAAGTGTGGATACATGGCCATACAGGGGCAACTGTTTAACATCTGGCATTTGAAGTACATTTGAATTAACATACAGGCACGGTTAAAAAAAAACACTTAATAGGTTATAACAAAAGAAGAAAATTAAACACCTAAAAATGGTGTTCAATTTTCTTCTGCTCCCTATGCAGTCAGAGATTAGATGGTAGAGCATTAGAGTGCATATGTCAGTGCAAGTAATGCATGTAAGCCCTATTACTCTGGTTGACAGAGGTCCTGTCCATATGCTGCAATGGTGTTATTATTTTGCAGATTTTATTTATGGCTGCTCTGTTTTTGGCTAGGAACTTGTGAACTGCTGAGATATTGGCTGGTATCGGGAAGTGGAACTGTTCCGTGAGTGGGCACTGAAAGATATAATGGTCCGGTGACCCCAAACCCCCCGCAAACACAGCGATCCGTGGTTGAGATGGTGCGGCGGTAGAAGTAATCCGGGAAGGGACCATGACCAGTAATGAAGTTGATAAGGGGAGCAATTGCCATAAGGCGCTCCGTGGTTACTTTTGGCAAGAAGCTATGCGCTCTCCTTCCCGTCGCCCTGATCCCATTCTCTTTGCCACCACTGGATAGCGGCATTTCGCAGTTGACTTTTGAGGAAAGATGGTGGTGCTGATACTGATATCGGTCTGGCATTTTGGTTCGAAGCAGCCTCTTTAGCGACTTCATCCGCTGTCTCATTACCCATGTTACCTGCATGGGCTTTAATCCATACTAGGTCAACATGTGCGTGCCGATTATCTTTTAGGATATGCTGCAGTCGTATGATCAGCGGGGAGGCGTGACTATGTTTGTCAAGAGCAAGCAGTGTCGACATACTGTCTGTATAAAGCTGCACATGTGTGATGTTGTTGAGCGCCACGTATTCAATGGCAGCTGTTATGGCAACTACTTCTGCTTGAAAAATGCTATTATTTGCATTGAGGTACCCTTTCCAATGGTGTGCAGCATGGCCTTGCCTGTAGTATATAAAGGTACTACCTACACCCTCAGCAGTTTTCGAGCCATCTGTGTAGAACGCGTGCATATTAGGGTTTCTTTCTGGTTGACTTCGGTTTGAGGATAGCGTGAATGCCAAGTCCCTTGTGTGCTGGGTGCATGTGGAGAGGAGTACATGGATGTTCGTAATTTGCAGGGCTATGTAAGGTGCCTGCAAAGGTTGCGTCTTTCTGTAGATGTATTATTTTAGTATATGTGGCCTCTAGCTCCGCTTGGATATGAAGTGGTATGGTGCCTGCCAAGGTGAGTGCTGCATAAGTTGCAGTGGTGCGGTAGGCTCTGCATAAGCCTATGGCGAATGGGCGCTGTAGTGATAGGAGTTGCTTAACCTTGCGTGCGGTCATGGGTTGTGCCCATATAGCTGCCGCATAGAGTGCCACCTTCTCAGCTACAGTTTTATAAAGTACCTTTTGAATGTGGGGATTCCGTCCCCAGTTCAGGCCTTGGAATTGTCGTGATCTCCTGGCAATTGCAGATGTTTTAATCTTTTGTGCCTGGATATGCGGAAGCCAAGCCAGACCTGGGTCCCATATTACCCCAAGGTATCTTAAAGTTTTTACGACCTTAATATTCCGGCCTTGTAGTTTGGTACATGGGCTACGTGTTGGATTTGTACCTTTTCTTGGAAAGATGATAGCAGTGGACTTTGTGGTGGATATTTTGAGTTTTAGCTCTTCGCAGAGGTTGGCAAAGATAGTGCATGACTCACTGCCATGGGCTTCAAGCAGCGCGTGTGCGGCCTCTGACCAGTAATGCCGCGTCGTCCGCGTATGCAACTAACACAGTATGTTGTGGCCACCTTGCCTCTAAGACTTTATTAAAGGTGAGGTTCCATAACACAGGCCCTGCACAGGACCCCTGTGGACATCCTCTCACTTGTGTTATTGAAACAGTACTACTGTTGTTAGAGATCATCAGTTGCTGGTCTGCCAGATAGTTGTCCAGAACTTAATAGATATTTCTTGGGCATCTTGCCTCTATGGCAGGCCACCAGAGGGTATCGAACGCACTTTGCAAATCTATCGATATAAAAGCCGTCTGGTAGCCCTGCGATTTGTTCTGAATTATGACTTCATGGATTCGCTGCAGGGCATGAATGGTAGAACTGCCTTATTTGAAGCCAAATTGTCTTGGGCTAATGCTTTGGTATTGATGTAGATGAAATTTTAGCCTGTTGACGATGAGCTTCTCGTAAATCTTTCCCATCGCCGACAGAAGGCAAATTGGCCTAAAGGAACTCGATACTAGGGGGTCTTTATCCTTTTTTTAAAATAATACCACATTGCCTTTTTTGAAAGCTGTGGGGAATATTTTATAATGCAGAAGCTGGTTGTAGTATTTATGGAAGTAGGATGGTCGTGCCTGATATGCAACTTTGATATTTGCGTAATCGAGTCCTGTCTGGACCGTGGGGCCTTTTTTAGTGGCAGATACCGGAAGATATTACGTATCTCCTGTGCAGAAAACTGTATATCGTTGTGCATGGCGAGCTTGTATCTTCTCTAATTTGCCTCTGTTCTGAAGTATCTGCTTGTGTATCATCTGTGGGAAAGATAGCATTTAAAAGTTCCTTGGCGGTGGAGGCCGCTACGTCCATAGTATGTGGTGCTGTTGGTTGAACTGGTACTTGCGCTGGTTGGAAGATCTGCGTTGACAGTTTGTGTAAAATTCCATATGGATTACTGATACTGGTGCAGAAAGATCTCCAGCTGTTAATTTTAGCTTCAAGAATTGCTTTCTTGTAGGCGGGCCTTTCTTGCCGAAAGGCCGTAAGGATGTTGGAAGCTGCAATTTCGTTGGTAGCAGATCTGAGGCGGCGGCGCAGAGCTCTGCACCTCCGTTTCATCTCTCTCAGTCTTCTCGTCCACCAGGATATGCCTTGGAGTTTTTTGGCGGTCCTTGTAGGGAGGATCTCCTGACATATTTGTCTGAGTAATGACAGAATGTGGTCTGTGTAATCATCCAGTTCTTAGGGGTTGGTAAGCTCTTCTAGTATGTCTTCTTCTCTGATGAGCAGCTCCTGAAAGGCATTCTTCAGTCGTCGTTATCTTTCCGCGCGGTAGTTTGAATCTCTGGAGGATATTAATGCTGGCTTCAAGATGATCTGAGTTACTCTCATCATCTAGAACATCCCATGAGCTAAAGTTGTTGGCAAAATTAGCAGTTGAGAGTGTAAGATCAGGCCATCCTTTATGATAGGTATTGTCATAGGTTGGTTGTGCCCCTTGACTATTATGTAAATGTAGATCGTGACAGGCCATAAAGTCTTCCATGTCTCGCCCTTTAGGCGTTGTGTCTTGGTAGCCCCATATAATATTATGTGCATTGAAATCTCCTCCTCCAACGACGTGAGGTACTGTTGGGCATTTCTGTTTCACTCGTATAAAGTTGCAAGTTACATCCGTAAGACCTTCCGTGGGCGGGGAGAAAACGGAGGTTAGGAGGAATTGCTGCTCTTCAAAGATGACTAGAATAGTAACGAAGTCTCTTTCTGTGGTTACTACGTATGGAGACCAGGAGGGGTTGCAGCAGACAATGGCTGCCCGTGGTGCTTGTTCTGCATTGGCTTTCTTCTGAAAAATTTTCCATGCCAGTGGTAGGCTTGCCACTTGGCCCTCGCGACAATAAGGTTCTTGAATTATCAAGAAATCTAAGTTATATTGAATAGCATGCTGGACTACCTGCGTGGTGTACCATAGTGATTGGAGTGCGGAGCAATGGGCGACCGTTCTGTTCATCAACGAGTCCCGTTTTAGCCTAAACATCGATTCTCGCCGTACTTTCATATGGAGAAAGCCAAGGACCCGCTACCTACCCTCCAATGTCCGCGAAATCAACACTTATGGCGGTGGCGGTGTAATGGTCTGGGCGGGCATCATGTTGGATGGCCGCACACCTCTCCACATCTTTGAAAGGCTCTGTGACTCGTGTGAGGAGGTATAGGGATGAGGTCTTGAAGCCCTCTGTTTGCCTTTTCCAGAGTGCAGTGGGCTCCTAGTTCATCTTACAGGGCGATAACGCGAGGCCAAATAGAGCTCTTCTGGTCGACGAATTTCCGAGAGTGAGGATATTCTCCGGATGGATTGGCCAGCCAGGTCTCCAGACCTTAACCATATAGAGCATGTCTGGGATGCTCTGAGGATGGCAACTGCAACTCGCAACCCCTTCCAAGAGCGATCTAGGAAATGAAAACAGCGTTGCTGAATGAATAGGACCAATTTCAACGTGCACTGATAAACTGCCTTATTTCCAGTATAACATCACGCTGCGAGGCCTGTATGGCTTTAAAGGGGACCATACCCTCTATTAACCCATGTCTTTTGCGTCTTTTGCAACCGCTGTTTCAGACCTTCAGACTCCCATGAGTGTTACACATGAGCATGTGTGTCTATTATAACTGTTGAATGTTTATTTTGTTTGTATTATATCAACCTGTATTCATACCAAATTTTATTAAAATCTGTCCAGTAGTTCTGGAGATCGTAGATCAAATATGAAAATTTTCTTAATTTCTTACACCAGTGTACTTCAGGTACCAGAAGGTACTGTTCACGGAATGACGATTTTCGAAAACCTTGAAATGTATTTGCCGGTAGTTTATGATCTATTTTCAATGGAAATTGTTATTGCATGGATTGAGCTACAACTTGAGATTATAGGTCTGCAGTGAGATACCGATTGAAGAAAATTGCACAATTATGAATACATTTTTAGTATATTCGTAAACGGGACAACTCACCAAACTTAAGGATGTTGCTTAAAAAGTGTGCGCTATTTTTCAGTTCACCTACGTATATTAAACAAACATTTTCTATTTCTATGTTATATTTCACTAAAAGCATTTTGCTGTCCGGCGTTATTGATAATATACTTAAAAGTAGTTTAAAGAACCTCCACTGCAAAAATAACACCCAATTTTTTTTAATGCAGTGGTGTAAAATTTGAAACAGCATTATTCGTCTGATTATTCGAGCCCACCAGCGGCCGAGCGGTAAAATCGCTGAACACTGGTAGTTCGGTCCGAGATTCGAATCCCGCGAACAGGCTGGCTGCATGGGCGTTTTCGTGGTTCCCCATGTGTAACGTGTATACGAGCCAGTTTCCCTTAGAAAGTCCTCCACGAAGGCATCCCTCCTCTTAGGCAGATAGCCCTCGAGTCTTTGCCATAATCACACACACGTCTGATTATTTTTTTTAGTTTGAGACATTTATATTTCATTTCATTTTCTGTGATAATAACAGTTTTGTATTTAAACGTATTTGTTATTGGTGACTGGCATTTTGATCTCTGAAATGACCGTTTGTCTAAAACATTGACTCAGATATGTTTTAGAATACATTTTTAAGTAATGAAATGTTCCTCGCTGTTATTGTTTCGTTTCGTATTTGTAGTAGCTTCAAAAATTCTTCGTAAAAACAAAACCACCCATGCAATTATTTAATAGTAGAAGCTTTAAATAGTTTTATAATATTAGTCTATTTAGGCTTGCGCGTCGTAACTTTTTAGAAAGGCTCTACTAAGGAACCTTTCTTCCCCTTTCTTAATCTTGTTACGACAGTTCTATCCATATTATGTCATCTTAATCCTTTCATTTCAATTTTAATTACTTTCCCTCTGAAATCACGAAACCTTGTTCATTTTAGACGGCTCTAAAACTTTCTGTAATTTGAAATACATCAGCGCTTCTAATACTAATTCAATGGAATATTGTTTTTTCTTAATGCTTTATTCATACCAAGCAGTTAACTCAATTTTACTGAAACTTCTCTAATATAATATGTTTTTAACTTTATTTACTAGAGAAAGAAATCTGAATTTTTCATCACTTTACAGCAAAATTAAGTTCTATTTACAGTATCCTTGTTATTTCACATGCATAACTACGCCTATATTGCCACATCTGGTATCAAAGCGTTTACTCTTGCCAAAGTTTTCTCTCAACGATAAATTTTTCATTGAAAAATTCTTAAATGCGTTCATGTTGTAGACTTCTCTGCAAATTCAGTGTCAAAAAATAATTTAAGATATTGTTACGAAATGTCCAGGCGCAGTGAAACAGCTTCCACAAAGCAGTTTTAGGGTTGCCATATAATGGCAAAGTAAGGCAAGGATGCCATATTTGGCGAGAAATCGCTCATTTGGCGACAAAATTGGTAATATGCCATGGACGAATAGAGAACCTTCTGGAACGAATTCTTACCGGTTTAGCCCAGAACGTTCTCGAACACAACTCAAAAGCTATATAAACCCTGCTGGTACACTGATAGTCAGTTAGTATCGAGTTAGTTAGTCTGTGCAGAGTCGATCGAGTTCACAGTCGGTCAGCGAGTGTCGAGTGGGTCGTCGAGTGCACCGAAAGAGTCTCTTAGTGTATCGCGGTTAGTGCAAAGTGCGAGAGAGTGCGTTGAGTTCCGGGAACGACTGAGTCGGGAGCTATACTCTAGTGTATCGTCGAGTGCATCGCGAGTTCTAGCGTGGAGAGGCTCGAGAGTACGTGGAGTTCCGAGAAGACCGAGCAGAGTCAGGTGCTGGACTCTGGTGCTTTGCAGTGAAGCTGTCTCCACCGTTATAGCCTGATAACCTGGAAACTATGTCGAGACTGTGTCAGCGTGTTTATAGTTGCTCTTCAACGACCGTAAACGTGTGTTTTGGAGCTGTCCTGATTAATATTGGCTAAATAAAGTGTGTTTCGATATTTCATCAAGTGCTGTTGTCATTATTCACTCCAGATCCGCACAAACCCCGTAACGTACGAACGTGAAGTGAAGGGGGAAAAAATAACGTAAGAATATACTTCTACGGGGCATTACTTCGACTTAAGAGGATGGTATCTGTTCATAATGCGCTTACAAGAAACAGTAGAAGTTTCCATAACCAGTCTACCACAGATCTACAGCATTGATTTTACGTGGCAAATATGATATTAATAGCTCTAGCGGTATTCATATTTTATACAAGTTCAGTGCTGCAAAAGAGTGGGAAAGTTCAGCGTTTCTGAGAGGCATCTTTGTGAAATAATTTTAGCAAAAATTGTCTCGTTTGATACATTGCATCAATGCGTAGATAAAACCACACATAATACTATCCCATTCTACTTCAAAGGAATCCAATCCAAGATTCAAGTAGCAACAGTCACTGGTTTACATTTCAGTCACTAATGGGTAATCGACGATACTTGAAATTATAAAAAATTATATTTATAATAACTAATTACCTTAATCAAATTATGGTGTTTTGTTTTCTATCTTTTGCTTATCGGTAAAAAAATTTTTCAGTTCCTATAAAAAACTTAATTTCAAAAATATCATTTATGTATGGATATTTTTTTTACTAAAGCGGTTGTTTATTTATTGTGCCCTTCAGATTTAACCTTTATTTTTTCTTCTTATCTTTAGGTGCCTGTACTGTGGCCAGCTTCAAAAAGAATACTACGAAAGACAACTGTCTACACTTTAATTGCCTCCCTCTGACCAAATGCAAATTCCTGTCTTCCACGTCTATTGACTCGTTCTCTTTTTCATCATCTCCCATTAAATTACATCCGGTGCCTTCAAATCATTCTTCCAGTAAGAATTCCACTACTACTACGACGACGACGACAACGTCTGAACCAGAACACCAAGCACAGTATGGAAGTAAACAGAGTAGCACTACTGTTGAGGGAATTCCAACATTTACCGTAGAACAATTTGCGATGAAAAATGACAATACAACCATCAAACCTCGCAAAGGCGTAGAAGATTTGATGCCTGATGCACTTATAAAAAGTAACTTCACGAGATCAGGAGTGAAACCTCGGAAGGGAGTTACTATGGAAGATGTTCCACATTCGAAATATTTATCAAGCAACGTCAGCAGATCCAAAGTAAAACCTAGGAAGGGTGTTGGACCTTACGCATCGCCCACGGTTATTTCATTACAAACGGAGACTGCATCGCCTGAGATACAGACCAGCACCGCCTCAGCGAACAAATACCATTCCGTGTCCCCCTCATTATTACCCCAAAACGATGAGCTTCCAAATGATATGCTGTCGGATTTAAAAAAGATTTTCGAAGATGATCCCAGTGTGCAAAGTTCATCAGTTCATTCAGTTTCTGAAGAAATTAAAGTTTCTCCTACTGTTTCCAGTAATGTACCAGGAAGTTCCTCACATAAATACGCATCATCGTCAGCAACAGAATATAGAGTTTTACCTTACACTCTAAAATCTAGTATCGGATCTCATGCTGGCACTACACAACCAAGTTCACTTCATTCTTCAATCTTAGAAGCATCGTCCATTAAACTTTTGTCTGATTCTGCTGCTATATATACCGTTATGCCTCCTTTGCCGATCTCATCCTTTACAAGTCAATCAAAGTCCGACTCATCTGTTGCAGCTTCTTCTGTTTTAACGGCGAAAGCACCAATTTTGACTTCAGACGAAAAGTTGCAGAGCGATGAAGAATCTGAAAATGATCGAAAGTATAAGTCTTCCATGCATTTAGTATTGTCTCTTGTATTTGGACTCTTGGTTCTTTTTGCTGTGCTAGGAGTTGTCGCCAAAAGAGTCTACGACGGATGGTTGCGACGAGACTACTATAGAATGAACTATTTAATTGATGGCGTATACAATGGTTATGGGTGACTGAAAGAGTTCCCATTTTATTAAATTGTCGCCAAATAAATCTCTCGTTGTCATTATCTAAATATGTTTGCCTTAGACTTGGGACCAAACAAGCAAGTATTGAGAGCAAACGCTATGTGATTTTATACTAAGTGTACTAATATGTTCATATGTACATGTGCCTGATACGTTGAAACATCTGTGATCAAATTCTTTAATGACCAGAATAGGACTCTTAACCATATGTGGCACTGAAATGATAGATATCAATACACGCAGCGAAAACTGAAGTTAAGGCAGAACAATTTCACTTTTATTTCGGAGCTTCAAATTTTTAAATGTTTTCTCGATGGTAGTCTACAACTAAAACTACGACGAATACGTTACAAGAAAAGTGCCGAATACATCATACATATTTTTCCCTAAAATATTTTTACAAATTTGTCGAATACTTTTTTCTTTTATTTTTGTAGAGTACTCTGTCGTGAAATAGCAACAGCTATACAATTTCTGTCATGCGCTATATTTTAAGAAAGAAATCTTAACTTCTTAGAGAGCCATTGTCTATTTTTAGTATTAAACAAATGTTCTAATTAGTGTTTGGTTTCAGTGATCTTATTCTCTTTAATCTTAAAATATTGTAAAAACCTTTCCATCTTAGAATGATTGTTGCATTAACGCAAACATAACATGAAAGATTGAAAGAGTTAACTGTGGCAAAAAGTGCTCTTACTCATTTCTTGTATATACCATTGCTTCGATATAGCTGTACGTCTTCAGCTGGATCTTAAAAAAATAAAGAATATAGCGAATATTTTATCGGATTTATTGTACGAAAACGTATATCTGTGACTGGAGACTTATATAATGTTCTGGAAGACAATTTTATATAAAAATCGAAATTCTGAAATCGCTCTAGTACCCTGCTTTCGAATGCATACATACTATGCAGCAAAAATAATTTTCATTTTCGATAATTGCTGAGTTGTTCTGTAATTATTATAACTGAAGCGTGTGGCTATTAAGTACTTCGTTTCGTTTAATAACTAAGTGAAATGTTTCCGTGATACAAAAGAACGGGTCCGCCAGTAATCAATTTCGAAATCCTTTATCTATCAGAGCTTGCAATTTTCTTTTAATTTAATTTTGTATCTATAATTTTCCTATGGAAGTAACCGGTATGCAAGTCAGATGTAATAAAAAATATGATATATTTTTAAAAGAAAAGTTTTTCATTCTTATGCTGTTTCGTTATAATATTCCAGAAATTGAATTTAGAATCGAGGATAGTTCAAATTTTTCAATGTTTCAACACAAGTGTTAATGTCATATGAGGACGATTTGTTATATAAATTAAGTTCGTCTTTCAATGTTTAAAGAAAAATAGTATTTTTTATGACCAAACATTGCAATCCGGATGGAACCTTACATCAAACACTTAGCGGATGCTTGCAGGGTCACCAATACTCTGATACATTTGACTGAGGATTCTCCAATGATACTGAGAAGAATAATAAATATAAAATGCGTACTTACGCCATATATAAAATATGTAGCATAAATGTTGCTTTAGCGTTGTACTGAAGTTATTAAGTTATTCGTTTTAAATTTAATTTTTATTTAAGATGTTATTTTTTTAACAAAACTTCCTTTAAACATCACTCAAGATGTCTTGAAATCAAAGCTTGTTTTTGATTATTAATGTCATCGAATCATGGCTGTATTTGAAATGGTTAACTGATGTCGTTAAGCAGTGACTGTTTATGTAGATTGAGTAATTAACTAAACTTACATAATATGATTACTGTAAGCTTTAATGATGTAGAACAGAGTTAATGTCTATATAAACTATGTATTTTAATTGTATGTTAACTTTTATCTATGTTAATTGAGCTCAACTATTTAAACGGTCACTGTCTTGTCTTAAAGCAATGATTGTTTACATAGATTACACGATATGATTGTTGTAAGCTTTAATTATTTATAATTGAGGTAAAAAAGTATAAAGCAAAATATAAAGCTAAAGCAAAAGATATCTGTGGATATAAAATATTTCGAAAACTTCGATACACAAAATTTTAAAAAGTAAATTCTCCCCCCCCCTTTTTTTTTTTTTTCTTCCTCCCCAGTTTATTGAAATAATTTTTTCTCCTTCGAGATTCGCTTATCAGTTTTAATGCCTCTTTCTGAATTCTCGATTTCCAGAAATTATGCGACCTGCCTTAAATCTGTTTATCCTGAATATTTCATATAAGGAATGTTTTCCATATTCTCTGAAGTTTTCTCAAAATATATTTATTTCAATTTACTCAGCTAGAAATGCATAATAGTAAAAATATTATCTGGCTAATATTCTGTAGATAATCCCAAACAAATTTTTCAATGTGAGTTTTTACTCACTAGTGGCGAACGTTGTGACGAATTTTGATCGCATATGACGGACTTTGATGTAGGTGGCATTTGGGGCAGTGAATTCACAGTTGTTTTGACCAATTAATTATGAATGTGGAAAGAACAAACAACAAACAAAAAAAAAAAAAAAAAAAAAAAAAGCTCGAAACCTCAATTGGGTATCAGGAGATTATAAGAAAAATGCGGTAAAATTCTGGTCTAATATAAAAGACGACTTTTAAAATTTCAAAATGCAATCCGGAATATATTCAAAATAAAATTAAGTAAGTGAAAAATTTAACAGCTTTTTTTATTTTAAAATAAGTACATGATTTCTTAAGGAAAATCACGAAAACTCCCATGCAGCTCCTTCACCGTGAACCTGCATCGAACAGTCTGTGTTCAACAATTTTATTCTTGGCCGGCGAAGGATTTTATTTTTAAAACGTTTTTGTATTTCCATTCAGTTCACTGATTGCAGCTGGTGTAAAACAAATTACTATTTTTATCATTATGTTTGATATCAAGTATCGTGTATACTGCTCTAAAATGACTAAATATGAACATCTCTCTATGGTAAAATGATTTACAGCATTTCTTGTATTCTGACCTAATTTTTCAAGAATTAAATTTCTATAAATTCTACACTATATTTCATTTTAAGTTATTTTATAATGACTGCCAAAATGTTTGTTTCATATTTTATCTCTTCATTCATTGTTTTAGATTTTCTTTGCGTGAATCGATCAGTTTGGCGACCTCCCGAATTTTCAAACCTGCATTTTGAATATTTTGAAATTTACCAAATAAGGCTGTGTAGCCAAATATCTCTGTTTTTAGAATTTTATACTTTCCTGTCATTAATGACATGAGTAATTAATGTTTTTATTATTACTTATTTATAGATGATTAGATTCTATTAATTTTGTTTAGAAAAATTGAGAGTTCAGATTTGGAAGACTTTCCTTGTTTTAAAATTGAAAAGAGTGTGTAAGTGTTTTAAAATTGAAAAGAGAGTACACTTTTTTACTGTAATATTTTCAACGTGACATTTTGTAAATCTTAAACTCGAAAAAACGTAGTTGGTAGTTATGTAACGTTGTGTATAAAACGTGAAGAAAAGCTTTAAAAGTTGAATTGATGTTTTCTGCATATTATGTGCAATACTTACACTACTCAGACTTGCTTGCTATATTATGTGCATTAACTACATTGCTCAAAATAATTACGGAATATTATGTTTTGGTATATAAACTGCGGACGAAGAAATGTATTGGTGGCTGATATATGATCTATAGGTATTTTAAGATATGAGAAAATAAAAAAAAAGCAACGAAAAAGAGATACTTAAATTTTATTGACGATATTTGTCGGTAAACAAAAAATGCATAATTTGAGCATATTATACAAATAAACAAAAAAAAATGTGATTTCTGGGTACACATGAGTTTCAATAAAGAGTATGGTCTCCCCTCACCGAAAACAGTGTCACACACCTACAAGCTATAGAATCGATGAGGGACTGGGATATTCTCTTCCACTCTTGTAGAAGAGAGCTTTTAAACTGCTGAATTGTTTCTGGGTGTATAGGTGACTATCAACCTTTCTTCCTAAAATGTCCGAAACATGTTCTGTTGGGTTCATATCTGGGAAATATGCTGGCCAATCCATTCGGATTCCATCGGCGAAAAGGATATTGTCCACTAGTTGAGCAAGATGTGGCCTGCGATATCTTCCATGAGAATGAATTCGTCCCCGATTGTTCCCGCGTGTAGGACCACAACATATGTGAAGATCTCATTCATATATCAATGAGCTGTTAGTGCTCCATTTCTGATAATATGCAGTTCGGTGCGGCCGTTGATAGAAATACCGGCCGAGAATGCCAGTATGCCTCCGCCAAATCGGACACGTTCCTGCATAAATGTACCAGGTTTTCTCCAGATGAGAATTTTCCTGTTGTTAGGTTGCACACTTCAGCGGACTCATCCTTGAGTAGCAGTTTGTTGCACTCATCTCGTGCCCATCTGAGATGCTTCTGTTCCCACCTTCTGCGGGCAGTGTGGTAGCCCTGTGTCAACGAAACACAAACCATAGATCTGTGAGCATGCGAACCTACGTCGTGGAGTTGGTTTCGGACAGTTTGAGTCAACACTCTGGTACCACTAGCCGTCTGAATGGGCTGTTGGAAGAAAGTTGCTTTCATATTTGGGTTTCTTCTGGCGTTAGTGTTAAATACCGATCCTTACTTTGTATTGCTTTAGAAGTGCAACCTTTTCCCAATCTTTTCTGAACATTTCCAGTTTCCAAAAACTGATTTCCATAGTCTGTAAATAATATTTGGAGTAATTCCTAATGCTTCCACTACAAGGGATTGCGTTTGAGCCGCCTCTAAACGAGCGACGGACCACCAGGTTGTAGATTCAACAAAGTCTTTTGCTGAGACATGTTTATTCTTACAAAACATGTCTTCTCTTACGGCAGGTATGCTGCAGATTCCTTTTCAGTCCTTATCTAAAACGCGTAGTTTTCGACGTCACTGCATATTCCTAACTTTGTAAACGTTATAACTTTCCTTTTTAACCTCTTTTGTTTCATTTTTATTAAAAAAGTTGTCGATTATATGGTTATTTCATACCGAACTCAATACCGATACAGAACCGGTTATTTCATACCGAACCAATATCCCCTAATTGTTTTGACCTTCGTACTTTGCAATTGCATATACCAGGATTAAACAGCTATAGATATTTCAGGAAGAGTCAAAAATATGGCTACACGTTACTTAACTGCAGTGTATCTCTATATTAGTATAGAAAAGTAGTAAATTCTGAAACTGTATTTTTTTCATTTCAAGTCGCGCAAGCAGTGGCCGAGTATGGTAGTAAGACCGCTGAATGGCGACCCGGATTCAATCCTAGTCGAACGAACGGTATTTCTACATGGTTGGTTTTTCCCATATGTAACATGAATACAAACCAATTTCCCTTGGAAATTCCTTTACAAAGCCATCCCTCCCCTTGAGCATATAGCCCTCCTGGCACACTTTGCCGTTTTCAACTTACCCAGTAATACTCACAGGCTCGAGCTTGCATCATTAGCCAAGATAGCGCTACAATTGCAGTGGAAAGGTACAGTTACAGTTGCAGCCTACTCAATTGCGTACAAAAATGATCCTAGAATAAAAGGAATTTCGTAAAAGTACTTGCATCAACGCAGCAACATCAAAAGTTGTCTGAGACAATAAAGTGCCTCTGTGTGCAATTATAATGTGTTGTTCTTCAGTATGAAAACCAGATTTTCCAATGGTACTACTGCACTTTCGTATCCATAATACTATCATCACACAATGCGATTAAACATGTAGCCATGCTTTGGACTCGCCCTGTGTTTCAAAATTTCAGTATAAATATGATTTTCTAGCGAAAATGTGGTACAAATCCTAATGTAATTTTCTGAAAGGAAAGGGCGTTGATATGCAGTTTTTATAATGATATATTGGCTCGATATTGATACGCAGTTTTATCATTGTGTTATTGTAGAAGCAGCTGAATGGTTATCGATTTTATTCTTATCCCTCATTCCCTCAAACGTAACTTCTTGGTAATTTTAATGTAAATGCGAGTGTGTAGTTATGTGAAAACTTTGCAGCTGAAAACGTGTGCCTTAATCTTTTTATTGATTACACTGTTTCTGGCACACGAATTTTAAAAATGTACAACAGATTTTGTTTCTGTTTTATCAGTATACAAAAGCTGCTGCTTTGTCTTTTATTTAATTTAAAAATTATGATGAGCTATTTCTGTAATGGTTAATTTAACATATTTTTGTTTCACAGCTCTTATGAATATGAATACTTTGTACAACAAATACGACGATATATGTATGTATGTTGATGTGCACATTTGTGTTCAAAATGAAATAAAATGACAGCTGTTTTTTTTGTGAGATTAAAAAACTGAATTTTATATTTTACTGCTTACTGGGTGTCGTCATGCCTTCGTTGTGTGTAGAATGCCTGATCATGTGTGCAACTAATGAAAATGCATGTGTATAATGCAGTCATAGTTTAAATAAAAGTTAATTTTTTTTAATATTTTGTGTTTGTATTTTTTCTAAATTAGGTTTCATGAAATTCGATTATTCTGTGCGTAGTTGCAATTTTTTCCACAAAGCGAAATAGAAATATTTGATTTGCTTGTTGCCATTTAAAAAAATGTAAAAACTGTTGTGTAGCTTTAAATTAAAGAAAAATATTTAAAAAGCTTTTTTTACGCTCTTCAAGGAAAACTGTAATATAATGCAGAATCATTTTCCTTCTCCAATTATATTATTTATGATCACAAATTTTTATTCTATTCCTTTTAGTAAGCGTATAGGTTTTTGCTACTGTTTTCCGTTGTTAAATTTTATGTTTTTTATTTAATATTGTTGCGTGCGTATGGATTCGTAATAGATTGAATGCACACAGCTCCCATGATATGTTGATAAGATTTATTTTATCAAATGAAACGCTTCAGTGATCTGGAACTTTAAACAAGGATAGTGGTACAACTCTTCACAATATCATAAAGTACAATCAGTAGTTAAACTTCAAATTACTATGAACGTTAAACACAACGCAATGCAAAGCCAGCTAGAGAGAAAGCTACCCAGAGATATCTCAGTACTCCGAATTCACGCTGAGATAACAGTCAACAACAGCAGCTTTAAATGTTATGCCATAGGGGTGGCCACGCATTTCCTTAAAGTTCACAAACATACTGCCGATCTTGACAATTTTTTCTAAACAGTTTTCTACATAGTAATTAGTCATATAATTATTAAAATATTAAGTTACATATTTTTCACAAAATAACGCAATATTAGAAACAGTAATAAGTTAGGGCTTTTCAATAGGGAGAATTGCTATTAATTGTTCTTTGAAGTTTCGGATTTGTCGCATAAATTTTGCAGTCTGAACCCGAATAGCCCTAAATAACTTAACCTAACAGTCATCTGCAGCAAGATAAATCGTCCTCTTTAAATTAAAACCATCTATCCTACTTAATGTTATTCTTCTTTACCATCCATTTTGGCCTTGGTTTAAAAGTGTTCGAATAATTCAGCTCTCAACTTTTCCCACACTTGTTGAACTTCTTCCGCTGAGCTGCTCTCTGCCATCGACTAACACTGTTAGTTTTGTTAACAAGCTATGGCTCAGCAACTGACTTGCTAGACTTTCCTATTAAGAAGTATACAGGGGTCAAAACTTCAAAGCCAAACTTAAATAACATTATAACTGGCTTGAATAACAGCCAGAATTCTAACTTGAAAAACAATTTTTCGAATTTCTCATACGTGAAAAACAATTTTTCGAATGTCTCATACGTCAGTCCAATAAGTTTGCCTACTATTCTCTTTAAAAAATGCTTACAGACTTAATAGCAGCCTCCCAGAACCTCAGAAATGAGAGATCTGGGAAGAATAAAATTCCAATTAGGGCCTTCGGATGTTTAGTAAGCAGCCAAACTGTCATCTAGGAAACCAACCAGACGATATAATCTTTTCAATTAGATATTTTGAGTTGTGAAAGTGGTCGCATCATCTGGAAGGTCTTATGACAGCTACCCTGTCTTGGGAAAAAATCGTTTTAGTGTAGCAATTAAAATATCATCAAATCGAAAAGCATCTCGAAATGGATGCCTCAAGCCGCAGAACGAATGCTTACATATACTATGTAGATCTTATTCATTGTTACCCCTTCTCTGGTGTACGAAACCTTCCATTCACAGTGCTGAGGAACTTGTTGCACGCATCGTGACAGTTACTGGGGAAGGCCGGTAGACGCCCGGTATTTTCCAGAATATCAGATCTTCCAAGCTCCAGAGAAGTAAGCCGCGCCAAGAAATCGTTTCCGACCATGCATTGCAATGTGATTTTCTATCGTCTAAGTGTATTCTATCTCTCCTGAAAGTTCGTAACCGCTGTGCTGAGACACCTTGTATATGTTCTTACTCTTCCTACTATAAAATAATTCGACAATATATATTATCAATTATTGTTCATTGAACGGGAGTTGGTTTGTTCCCCTTGAAAAGTCAACTAATTTCCGATCAATGACAATAATTACATGTTTTAATTTTTCCTTTTACAATTGTAATATTATTCTTCGTGATGATTTAACTCCAGTCCCCGTTAAAACATTATTAACATTTTGCTTTCAAATTACTTCAAAACATCTTTCAAAATATAACTTACCAGTATGGATGCACAATTTTAAAATAATTCTACTTTAATTAAACTTAGGAGATAATATAATCAATTAATCAATACTGTTTAGGAAATAAATTATTATTAACTAACTTTGCAGCAATTGCGCAAGTAATAATAACTTGTATTCGCACTAAATGGATTTAAGTTCATACAACATTACATATATATATATATATATATATATATATATAATGTTGACAACTTCTGAAATGAGTTTCAGTCAACAGGATTTTCGTTCTAAAAATATCCGAGAAGGAACCAAGATCCTCGTTCCCAATTCAACTATTTATCGATAAATGACAAAAATTCAACACTTTGAAAGAATTTATTTCGGTTGATACCCTCTTCCAGAGAGCAAAAATCTGAAAATAGTGATCCATAGGAACAGTCGGATCTCGGTGGCAGCTCTCGACAACCAAGTAGCTTGTCAGAATCACTGAGTTTGCAGGACTGCCCTGCACTGTGCGTTAAATGTTGCTCACCTCATGCTAGAGGTGGTGAAAGCTTTCGACCGCATCTGGCATGAGGGATTTATTTACAAACTCATTGACCTTAACTTCGAGTTGATCCTTCTCCACTTCTTCCTATCTTCTCGGAGTTTTCAAGTATCGGTTGGCAACTCACTGTCTGATGAAACACCCAGCTAGAGGTGGTGAAAGCTTTCGACCGTATTTGGCGTGAGGGATTTATTTACAAACTCATTGACCTTAACTTCGACAGAGAGCTGATCCTTCTTCACTCCTTCCTATCTTATCGGAGTTTCCAAGTATCGGTCGGCAACTCTTTGTCTGATGAAACACCCATCAGCCCAGACCTGCACTTACCAATATACCGTTAATTGGGCCGATTTTATATTTATTTAATGTATAAGACTTCCTAAAGCCGATCAATGTGTTGCCACGCGGGAAATAAAACATTATCTTCCATGCGCCAGCGAGTTGCTACTAAACTAAGTCCATGATACTTACAAATTTATTCTGGAAGGTTGTTGAGAAATAAACTAAACGATTTAAAAGCAATATCCAACTTTTAAGAATGCATTTTTTTACTTTTTAATTTGAATGATTCAAATAAGCATGTGTTAAAATCATGTGATGTCTAATTAGAAATATTCAATATTTTATGAAATTACACTAGTCGTACTGAATAAAATCATTATATACTTTTTCTTTTTATGATAAATATTTTGGCTGACTAAGTGAGCGGCTAGTTTTTAATGAAATAATACAGCGAATATAAAATATATATGGAAACCTCCATCAGAAATTATAAACATATACTGCTTTTAAATAGTTTGTTATTTTGCTGTTGAATTGAATTCTATGTGGCGTAAGTGACTTGATATTTATAAATGGAGTTCGAACATAAAAAGTTAATAATAAAAAGACAAAAAAAATTGTTAGCCCTCTTAGTATTAAGAAAACTGAACGTTGGTATGATGAGCTGAGAAAACACCAAAAATATATAACAACACTTAATCGGAAATTCTAAACATGTGCAGCTTTTAAATTTTTTGTGATTTTGCTGTTGAACTGTGTATGGCGTAAATGAGAAAAAAATGGTGCTTAAAACGAAATTAAAAAAGAAGGAGTTGTACTAGCAGGGCTGAGTGCAAACGCAGACTGGTAGACTGCGAATGCAGCAAGAGCATAAATAAAAAAAACCTTAAGAAACCCTTTTAGATGACTGTTAAAATCTAAAACATTTTAGATTGTTTTCCTTTTTATTCCAAAGGAGGGTAATTTGCCCTGAAGGAGTATTAATTTCGTTTTGGCATTTTGCATCGATTCACGATAAGCGTTGTTTCACTTTTCAAATTGTTGCCACCAAATATTAGAGCCCTGTATTATATTTAAAGAAATTAAATAATGAAGAGTCTGCATGAAGTATGTATGTTTCTCGCATTGTGATAAAACAACGGTACCTAGAGCCATCAAAAATTGAATAACGTAATCTTACATAGAATATGGGCATGTGAAAGCTCTAATTTAAATTTGAAATTTGTTTGATTATCGATTTCATAGTTTGTAACACTTCAACGAATTTTTGATTCAAAACTAAACGATTTCAAAGCGAGCAATGGCAGCACTGTACGAAAAGAAAACATTTTTATCTGTATCGCTCGAGGCTGTGTACCGGAAATTCTAAAGATATGCTCATTTTAAAATTCTTTTGCAATATTGCAATATTGCTGTTGAACTGAATTTTATGGTTTGAGTACGTAGAACATGATATTTAATAAATAAAGATAACACACAAAACGTTAAAAAGCGCCCCTTTGTACTTAATTTAAAATCTGAAACCTTTCAGATTTTTTTTACTATATTCTTTAATTTAAAAAAATTTCTCGCGTTATGAACTACTTTGTATTATTCTGGTGTATACCTTTTATTTTATATATATATATATATATATATATAACGCGGGTCGCACTGCCAGGTTCTGAAGAAACACCTGTCTAAATATTTCTTACATGACATTTGTACTGTTTCTTACATTACGTTACGGTGCCCTACGCAAAATAAAGCACGCTTTTTCGTTCGTTAGTAGGGACTGAAATTATAGAAAACTGGCATTGTTCATAACATGTAATGATTGCATCCCAAAACCATTAATGGCGTACACCTGCTTAAAAAGCAGAGGAAAAAATGGAAGCTAAACATAAGGTAAGCGCTTCTTTTTTTACGTATACTTTCAAGCACATAAATCAATATCGCTCTACATCTTTCTCTCACTTCTAATGACAAAAATATATTTAGCTATTGAAAATATCTATGAAACCAGAATTTTTATTCTTCAAAAATTAAAAAAGGTAAATAATACAGTAGAATATTTTATA